ATATAAATTTTACACACACACACACACACACATATATATATATATATATATATATATATATATATATATATATATATATGTAAATGTGTGTATATATATATATATATATATATATATATATATTGAAATACATGGAGACTGCTATTTTGTTTTTGTTTTGTTTGCTACTTTTTTTTTCAAAGGATGAGTATATTATGTACCCAGGTGACCCTTTCATATGTTTATTTATTCATTTTTTTTTGTCATTTTATTTTTTTTTTTTTCATATTTTAGATATATTTTGTTTCATATTTGAAAACTGTATGTTTTATTTCAATATTTATTACTCCAGGATAAACGGGATTATTATTTTTTTTGTTTGGTTCCTGCCCATTTAACCTTTGTGCGAACGAAAACATGAAAAATCCAAGTAATGACTAATAGCTAACCATTATTTAATACTAAACATTTTTCAACACTAATGCACTCTTTCTTTCCTTCTTTTCTTTTTAATTCTTTCTCTTCTTTTTCTTTTTTTTTGCTGCCGTCCTTCATTGTTATTTTTTTTTTACATTTTTCATTCTTTTACTTCTTTCTCTTTCGCATTCTTTCTCCTCAATTTAAATATAATTTCCCCTTGTTTTATCTATTTAATTTTTTCTTTCTTTATATCATTATGCCTACCGTTTGTCATTTTCTTCAGCTTTCGCTTACTCAGTATAAGCTAACTTATTTTCCGCTTTTTTATTGTTTTAACTTTTCAAATACTTTTATATTTCCAAGAAATATAGCGGGGTTTAAAAAATAATGCTTGTAAAATGATGATTTTAGACATATTTAAAAGCAACTGACGATAATATTCAGGCCATTCTAACATAATTACTTAAAGGAGAATTGAAAAATACTAGGTTTTAGGTAATACGAGGCCCTGTGTCTCAGTGTGCTGCGACACAGCACCACGTACGAAGTTAAACAACCTTCTGGAAAGTACCTAGATAAGTGATCGCTTGGGAATACAAATTGCTGTAAGCTTGGATAACTTGGTTTAATGGCGGTGTCATTGATAACGGCTCTGAATGAGAAGCCTAGTTCGAATTCCAATCAGGGTCGTTACATTCCCTTACGCGTAGATAATCTTGGTACTTTTCGATTCATGATCGCCCAATCTTGTCAGATGAGCGCCAAAGCATTTCGAGCCAACACGTCAGGTCTCCTTCAGCTTACATGGATCTTGGGAAAATCCACGTCCTGCAATGGAACATTCAGAAAAAGAATGGCCCAAGAGAAGTGGATAGGTTTGCCTATCGTTCGGTTCATTCTCCTCCCCAGTCAGTGTCAACTAGAAAATGCTGCAAAATATTTTGGACTCTATGCCTCTAAAACTGAATCCATAAGCTTCAACCAGCAAAACACAATGCAAGCTATCTCAGGTGAATCAATACAATGGGTCGAATCTTCTGGAGACCTAGCGATCCTAATAGATTCTACTGAAAAGGATGTGAAAATTTGTATCGCTAAAGCTTGGGCAAACTTGAATAAAATAGATGTAATCTGGAAAACTGATCTACCAGACTATTATTATTATTATTATGACTATTATCCTCATTTTGTTGTCATATTTATTCCAACGTTTCAGCCGCTTCTTCAGGTAGTTGGAATATCCAACTGAACCCTTTATTTTGCTCACTGGTGTAGACTATTCTAGTTCCACGTGCCATGTTTAATGGATGTTATCTCCTGTTAAATCCCCCTCTGCAAGTTCTCCACTTATACAGGTATTGAACTCACACACTTTGGTTCCTGTCAATGGATCTAACCAACGCCTTTACCCACTGTGCCATGTGTCCTTGAGAACATCTGTATATAAATTTCTAGCCATTATTAGCCTAATGTCTTCCGCACATTCTTTTTACTAGTGCTCATATTGCAATCTTTGCTGTTATCACCTATATTTTTACCAGAGCTCATATTGCATTTTTTTGGTTATTATCGCTTTTTTCTGGTACTCCTTATTACTGGTTCTCATATTGTATTCATTTCTATGCTTGTTCGAGTCAGGAGATTTTTGTGGACTAGCATATATACTGATTCCTTAAGTTTACGAATTTTCAAATGGTGTTCTTTGTCTCTGATCCCAACCTGATCCAATAGGTTGCGGTGATCTCCCTTTTCTCTCCATATGTGGTCAGCCACGCCTTATTTTTCCACTTTCGGCCGTTGTACACTCCGGTCTTCTTCAGGTTCTTCAATGTCGAACTGAACTGGATGTCAGTTATCAGTTATCTCCTGTTAATTCACCTCTCCAAGTTCTCCACTGCCTTAACAGGAGATGACTGATAACTGACATCCATTAGACATGCTACGTGGATCTAGAACAGTCTACCCCAGCGAGCGAAATAAAGGGTTCAGTTCAACATTCCAACCACCTGAAGAAGGCCTGAGCGTACAACGACCGAAACGTTGTGATAAATATGGTAACAGAGGACAATAGTCCGTATAATATAAATAGTGTACATAATTACTCATCTCAGGAATATAGACAGATACTGAAGGGTCGAAAGTTGTGATAAATCTCGCAACAAAGAGGAGGGCAATAGTCCGTATAATATAAATAGTGTACATAATAACTCCTCTCAGGAATATAGACATACTCATCTACCAGAATCTGGAAATCTGACCTTCCAGACAAACTCAAACGGGGATTATGCGGTTTTAATGTATGTTGCCACTGCTTAGACATTAACTAAATCTCTACAGTCAAATCTTGATGGAATCTACACTTGGATGCTGAGTCTTGGAGACAACGTCCGAATAAGTCCCAGTTCTATGGTCCCATCACTGATATTTCTACTATCTTACGTGGACGCAGAATGCGCGTTTCAGGGCATTGCCGGCGAGCAAAACAAGAATCCGCGTGGGGTCTACTGCTCTGGATATGCAAACAGAATGCTATGCTAATAAAATTCTAACCTTGATGGCTTGCGTGATAGATTCATGAATGTCTGAGCTAGCACGGCAAAATAAATAAATATTAATCGTTTATATTTGAGTCCTTAAGTATTTACTTGCTTCTGGTATAACGGGGGCCTCGGTTTTCGGGAACCCCTGTTAACGTGCGATCCAGTTATCTTTGACGCTGTTTGGCTAAGTTATGACACGGAAAACATACATCTTCACGCTTATGTACATTCCTGTTCATTGCCTGCCTGACTTCCCACAAGATTAGGGAAAAGACTTTATTTGAAGTCTTCGTGTAGGTTGACTATCCTTCCAAACAATAAAACCTCTTCTCGTCGTCTTACACCAAAAAGAGTCTTCAATAAAAGGTAAAGCAAAGATAAATGGTCGTTTATTTTATGAATTTTTCATTTGTTTCTTATTGTTTTCTGCATGTAAACTTATATTTATTTTATATCAAACGTATTTATGTTAATATTTTGGGGTGTATGGAAAGGAATTAATTGTATTTGCATTATTTCTTATGGGAATATTACCTCAGTTTGCGTGTATTTTTATTAAAATTATTTTTGTGTGAAAGGGATTAATTGGATTTACCTTATTTCCTATGGGAATATTACCTCGTTTTTCGTGTAGTTTTATTAATAGTTTTGGGTGTGAAAGGGATTAATTGGATTTGCATTATTTCTTATGGGAATATTACATTTCTGGGTCGAATTATGGCCAATAACCTGTATAGGTAAATATTGTTACAGCTTTTTGTGTACATACTATGTAACTAGTGAGCGAGTCAAAATGACTTAATTCCTTTTATAGTCTACAAATAGTAGGTGGACCAATCAGAAGCCGCACAACACTGTATCCGTCGTGTATAAAGGCGGCCATCTTTGTTTTCCTACCGGAATGACCAGAGGCAACTTGTCCGGCGAACAGGAAAGACGGAAGAACTACGCTCTGCTACCTTGCTGCGATATCCACTACGAACCTGCACTACGCTTTCCTACTGTCTCCGAAATATTCACTGCCAACCTCTGGATTCTATACTCGAAGACGACCGTCAAAATGTCTAACAAATATTGGGCGTTTATATTTGAATCTGTAAGGATTATTTTTGTTCGGGATATTTAAATATTAGTTTAATCGCTTTCTTCGTTTGATAATAGGTAAATATCTGGCATTTATATTCGACTATAGATGCATTTAGCTAGCCTATAGCTAAATGGTTACCTCGTGCCTTATAAGCATTTCATGGTGGGATGGTTGATAATAGCTAATTATAGTTAACTATAGCTAAATATTGGTCGTGTATCGTTGGTTTTTATCATTCCTCTCTAAGCATGGCTAGTGATGATGATGATAATAATAATAATAATAATAATAAAAATAATAATAATGTTTTGAGTTTTTTCTTTTCTTTGAGTATACAGTGTAACCCGGATATAAGAGAAACCTGGACATAAGAGAGATTTTCTCTGGTCCCATATTAGAGCCCATACTTACCTAAACAAAATAGACCAAGCCCGGATATAAGAGAAATCCGGATATAAGAGAAACCCGGATATAAGAGACTTCTTCTCCGGTCCCGACAACTCTCTTATATCCGGGTTACACTGTATGTAAACATCTTCAAAAAGCCTGAATGTAATAGGGGAGATTCCACGTGTATTTAATTGTTATGGAAATCACAAGAAACGTATTCAATGTTTAAATTAAAAGTTATTACTTATCAGAATTTTTTTAAAAATCGAGAATTTTTCACGTGTACCGCTAATCCCTAAATCTCGCCATTTTTGGTGGGTATTATGCTATTATTTCACGAAAAGATATTATTGCGATCTTTTTTGGTGGCAGGATTTGTTTTCATTGTTGTTTCGATAAAATTATCGTCTTTAATTTTATTAATTTCACATTTGTCTTCTCGCAATTTGTAATGTCTTCCTTGACTTTGATGATAATTTTAGTGCTATTTGTGAGTGTGTGTTGATAATTTACTTCCGTACAAGACTGTTTTTCACCTTATTCCTTAATCAGCGTATTCTAAGTATTTTTCTAGCCTTCTTTAGTCTCTCTCTCTCTCGCTCTTTGTCTCTCTGTCTCTCTCTTTGTCTCTCTCTCTCTTTGTCTCTCTCAAACACACAACTGCACAGTGTGCCGACGTATATACATAGAGACACACACGTCTGTACTTTCTATTTGTTTTATAATTTTTCCTTTTTTTTTTAGCAATGTTCTTTTCATGGTTCATCAACTTTGAGCCAGGGCGTACCGCCCCTAACACAAACTATTAACAGTGCACTGGGGCGTGTTTTATTGAAAATTTGGATGATAATAATAATAATAATAATAATAATAATAATAATAATGAAAATTAAAGCGTGGATGATGATGATGATGATGATGGTGGTGATGATGATTATGATGATGATGATGATGCTGATGATTGCAAGAAGATGAGTTGGCTGAAAATAATAATCCTGGCAGTGTTAGTTTTACAAGAATGGTTTCTCTGTTCTGAAATGTAAAATAAATGACCAAATATTTTTAAAACAATCAAAGATGAAGGAAATGAAGAGAGAAAATATTTCTTTCTTTCATCCTTTTTTTCTTTCTTTTTCTTTCATTTCTTTTTTCCTTTCTTTCTTTTTCATTTCTTTCTTTCATCTTTACTTTGTTCCTTTCTTTCTTTTTATTTCTTTCTTTCATCCTTTTTTCTTTCTTTCTTTATCATTTCTTTTTTCCTTTCTTTCTCTTTCATTTCTTTTTTCCTTTCTTTCTTTTTTATTTCTTTCTTTCATCCTTTTTTCTTTCTTTCTTTCTTCATTTCTTTGTTCTTCCTTTGTTTCTTTCTTTCTTCCTTTCTTCCTTCAGATGTCACTAACTGGCAAGAGGCCTAATTGCTGACCACCTCTAAAAAAAAAAACAATAGTGTTTTGCGGTTAAAACAAAAAAGAAACTCGAAAAATCCGCAAAAGAAAGAAAAAGAAAGAAAGAAAGAAAGAAACATAAACGAGATCAGGTCGTCTGAGAGCAAATTAGAAAAGTGAGGGAGAAAGAAACACAAAGGAAATCACTTAATGAGAAAAAAAAAGAAAGATATATAGAAAAAGGAAAAAGGACCGAATAAGAACATACAAAAAAAAAAAAAAAAAAAAAATACGAAAGAGAAAAAGCTGAATAATGAAAAAAAAAAAGAAATGAAAAACCGAGAGAAAATGACGAGCCCACTGAATGAAAAGAAAGAAAGAAAGTTAAAGGGGAAAAGTTGATTAAGAACAAAATAGAAAAGAAAGAAAGAAAATCATTGAATAACAAGAAAGAAAAAAGAAAGAAAGAAAGAAAGGAAGAAAAAGTAAGAAAGAAAGAAGAATGAAAGAAATAAAGAGAAATAACCGAATGAGAAAAAAAAAGAAAGATAAAGAAGAAATAGAAGGTGGAATAAGAATAAATTAGAAAAGAAAGAAAGAAAGAAAGAAAGAAAAAGAAAAAAAAATGACTGAATAAATACAAAGAAAGAAAGAAAGAAAGAAAGAAAGAAAGAAAGAAAGAAAAAGAAAATATAAATGATTGAATAAATACAAAGAAAGAAAGAAAAGAAAAATGACTGAATAAATACGAAGAAAGAAAGAAAGAAAGAAAGAAAGAAAGAAAGAGAAATGATGGAATATGTAAAAAGAAAGAAAAATAAAAGAGAAAAGGTGGGATAAAATAAATTAGAAAAGAAAGAAAATCATTGAATATCAAGAAAGATAGAAAGGAAGAAAGAAAGAAGAATGAAAGAAAGAAGGAGAAATGACCGAAAAAGAAAAAAGAAAGATAAAGGAGAAACGGTGGAATAAGATTAAATTAGAAAAGAAAGAAAGAAAGAAAGAAAGAAAAAGAAAATATAAATGATTGAATAAATACAAAGAAAGAAAGAAAGAAAGAAAGAAAGAAAAGAAAAATGACTGAATAAATACGAAGAAAGAAAGAAAGAAAAGAAAAATGACTGAATAAATACGAAGAAAGAAAGAAAGAAAGAAAGAAAGAAAGAAAGAAGGAAAGAAAGAAAGAGAATTGACCGAATATGTAAAAAGAAAGAAGGAAAGATAAAGGAGAAAAGGTGGGATAAGAATAAATTAGAAAAGAAAGAAAGAAAGAAAGAAAGAAAGAAAGAAAGAAAAAGAAAATAAAAATGACTGAATAAATAGAAAAAAAGAAAAGAAAGAAAGAAATAAAGAAAGAAATTAAAAATGACTGAATAAGAAGAAACAATGATAAAAATGCCAGAAAGAAATAAAAGTATTTGTTAAAAGAAAGAAAATTAAGAAAAGAAAAGAAGAAAGAAAGAAGAGTTCAAATTATCTTTCTAATTAAGATAATTTGAACTCTTCTAAAATAAGGGAGAAAAAAAGGAGGAAGCAGAAGATAACAAAACAAATAAAAGAAAACAATGAAAGCAAAATAAGTGTAAGGAAAGTGAACGAATAGAAGGGAGAAGGAGCAGAAGAATAAAAGCTAAAAAAAGAAAGAGAAAAAATAGGATGAAGAAGAGAAAAGAAATGTATGAATATGAAAGGAAGAAAGAACAGCAGGAAGAAAATATAGAGGGAGGACAAAATGAAAAAGAAAGAAAACAAAAAGAGAACTCAGGGAGGAAGAAAATAAGAACATTTTTTTGTCATAGATTTCCACCATGATGTTTGTGATGATTTGAAACGTCACGAACAATTACGATGTTGACTTGCCTTTGTAATCCACACAACTTAGACAGATACGGGAGCGGAAAGGAGATTTTGTCATATGAGACGAACAAATAAATGACTGATTTTATAAATGAATAAATAAGTCTGGCTCTTGTCGAGGTGGGGGCACTTGACTCTGGACTCTTGTCTGATAGTGTCAGGTTGGTTGTTTTTGTAAGGGTCTTTAAGTCGCCGTCAGAAAATTTAATAGTATTATTTGATTTCATTTTTTTTTTTTTCAAATTTCCACTTTAATATACGAGTCATCAAAAATGAATTCTCGAAGCGAGGCCAAAAGTCGCACATTTTAATTTAAAAAAAAAATTAATCGATAATTAGTCAGAAATATTAGGTTGGTGCAAAAATAATATCGTTTTTTGACGTTCAACTTAACGTCAAAAACGACATTATTTTTGCACCAACCTAATATAATGTTCGACACATTGAGTTATTTCTTTTTCTCTTTACTGATTGATGTATTTTTCACTCTTTCCCATTTTTTAAATAAAACTGTTCGTGGAGCAATGGATAGCGGCACGGATAGAGAAATAGGAGATCCGAGTTCGAATTCCAGTCGAATCCATTACATTCACTTACGTGCTAATACCCTTTGGAAAGGTATGAATCCTCTTCGTCTCTATGGATAAATAGCTGAACAGACCGGGTTCTATAGGTTTGGATGGCAACTGGTCTACCGCAGAAAGAAATGGCAACCTACTGCGGGAAAAAATCTGCCTCGTCAGTCATGTATCGAAAGATACTTGATCGCCTAAGCATGTGTCACGCATGGTACATAGCTGACCGAGGATCAGTTGGGTACCGTTTGTGAGAAAAAGAGCAACATGAAGCAATCCACTACGCCAGAAATTTGGAAACGGCATGGTGTACTGCTTGGCATTCGCACCGGAAGCTCTAATATGAAAATTTTTGGATGTCAATCTGTGGAGAATGCAGAGGATATGGAAAGAGTTGGATGAGTTTAATGGGGATTAAAAAGGTATGGCAGATCGGAAACTTACTCCGTTCTGATTAGAAAAGATCTCCCGAATTTTTTGATAGGAGACTTAGACTCAACAGGGGGTCTAAATCCAGTGCTGCCCTGGGTCAAGACAGTATCTGCAGGAAGACCCTATGTCTGGTCACAGAACTCTGCACCTTGCCACGCAATCAGAAGTACTCAGTCATGCCTGTCAGACAATTTCTGCGACCACATCATTCCTTACATCTGCCCACCTAATTCCCACGATTGCAATCCCCTTGATTATTATGTGGGGGGGGGGCATTTTGTAACGCCAAAGATGAACAGAATGCAAGGATTATGGTACCATTCATCAACTTAAACAAGGAGACTGCCCAGAAGATTAACAGGAGATTTCGAAATCGTCTGGAGACCATGTTTGAAGCAAATGGCGATTTTAGTGAATAAATTTAGTTGTAGTATTTCAAGATATTTCTTTCTGTGATTTTGGTAAATATATTTGTTAAAATGAGATGTTGGAGTTATTTTCATTTTTTGCGAATTTAGGCAAAATTTACCCATCGCACCATATATATATATATATATATATATATATATATATATATATATATATATATATATATATATGAAAACTAAGTCCAACAATTATTTTAAGACATTTTATAGTTATACATTCTTTTATAGAAACAAAATTTTTAAGTAAATCTTCTGTTTAAATACAGAACATTTACTTAAATATTTGTATCTATAAAAAGAATGTATAAACATAAAATGTCTTAACACACACACACACACACACACACACATATATATATATATATATATATATATATATATATATATATATATATATATATATATATAGTCGAATCCATTACATTACGTGCTAATACCCTTGGGAAAGGTATGAATCCTCTTCCTCTCCCTCCAGCTATGGGTAAAATAGCAGGATAGACTGGGTTCTATAGCCTTGGATGGCAACTGTCTAGGAGAAGAATTCAAAACCTGCGGAGGGTCGTTTGGGAACCTTGTGGCATTCGGTGCACCAGGTCTCTGTATTCGGCCCTTCAAAAAGTGTGGATGGTCCTGCACGAAGCCTTCACCACTATAATCAAATCTCATGTGCCGGTGTCGGGCTGTCGGTTTCCTGGAAATTGATCTGCTTGACCCTCATACGTCGAATCTCGACGGGAGATTCGATTATATATAGTGAGAGAGAGAGAGAGAGATAGAGAGATAGAGAGAGAGTTGTCGACGTTATGCCCCCATTCATCTACCCACAGGGCCAGACTCAAAACGAATGCCTACATCAAGTGTCTTGTGAAGGTAGTGCTGCCATGGGTCAAGAGGGTGGCTACTGGAAGGCCCTATACCTGGCAATAGGACTCTATGCGACGCAAGAAAAGCTGGAGAACCTAGTCATGGCTGTCAGTCAATTTCTGCGATCATTTCCCTCTTTATATCTGGCAACCTCATTACACAGACTGCAAACCCCTTGATTATGATGTGTGGGGTACGATTGAGCGGGAGACCAAGAAAACACCTTGTAACACTAAAGATGAACTGAATGCAAGGATTATGGGAGCTTAAACAAGGTGAGTGTCCAGAAGATTTGCAGGAGATTCCGAAGTCATCTGTAGGCCGTGGTTGAAGCTACAATACGGACAATTCAAAGTGTTTGGGTGTCAATCTGAGGAGTGTGCAGAGGATACAGAAAGAGTTGGACGTGTCTAATAGCGATTAAGAAGGTGTTTGAAGTGATACTTTGTGACGTCGATGTTATACCTCCATTCATTTTCCCACAGGGCAACATGAATGCCTACATCAAGTGCCTTGATGAGGTATTGCTGCTTTGAGCCAAGAGGGTGGCTACTGGAAGACTCTCTGCACTGTGCTACTCAAGCAGAACACAGACATTTTTTGCGACAACATCACGCATTACATCTGGTCATCTAACAACCCACACTGCACCCTCTTGATTATTATGTGTGCGTCCCAGTTGAGCAAAGATGAACTGAAAGCAAGGATTATGGCAGCTTTCACCAACATAAATCATCTGGAGGCCGTGGTCGAAGCCAATGGCAATTTTATTGAATAGATTTACTCTTTAACATTCGAAGATATTTTTGTGACAATTTCCTAAATATATTTCCTAAATATATCTGTTAAAATTCTATCTTGCATCTTCATTAATAGTTTTCATTTTGTTAGATTGTTTACCATTCAAGGCGAAAGGGTTCCTGATATTTCACACATCCACTGAGGCAGAGAAGTTGAATTCATGTACTTCCCAAGTAAATGCAATAAATACTCACCCGGAATCTGAACTCTTCTCGCTGATTTCACTTCATCTGTTATGTTTTCAGTTAGTTTCGTACCTTGCGTGATACACGCTTAGGCGATCATGTATCTTTCGATACATTTCAATGCAGATTTTTTTTCCCGCGGTAGAAGCCATTTCTTTCTGCAGTAGACCAATTGCCACCCAAGACAATATGTCTTGCTATTTACGCATAGCTTCGGAGAAGAAGATTCATACCATTCTGAATGGAATGGATTCGACTGGAATTCGAACTTCTCAATCCGAACCGCTATCTATTACACCAACGTTGCACATCGTTATTTTTAATTAGAATTTAACTGGCTAAGCCACTATTGACAGAAATATTTCTTCTTAATAATACCTGGACCTTAATTTTTTTTTCTTGTGTGTTTTTTCTTATTTTTTCTTTTTTCTTTTTTTTATCTTAATTAATCCACTCCAAGCAAAGCGATAGTTCCACTAAAATGGAAACGGCTGCTTAGAGTGAAAAAGAATGAGAAGACTTTCGAAGTTACCAGAAACCCGATCCAAATGAGGAAAATAATTTAAACATCTACTCTGTTTCAAAAGATAAGGGAGATGCGTGAACCGCACGATAGACAATCCTATCTACTCCTAGGGTTTTTTTTAGAGAGCCTAGTTTATCCTGTTATATAGCAATAAGTAGGAGAAGAAATGGATTCATGTTTTTCCAAAGTGTGAAAATGAGCGCAATAGACTAACACAGAATTTAAATTGCTCATTTCCTTGACGTGTCAATGTCCTTTACGCGACCAGTGCATTGTTAATTTTAATTACCGTATTTGGCAGCATATAATGCACACATTTCTTTTTACTAAAAATATCTTTTGAAGTTCCCCTTCGTCTTATATGCCATAAGTCGGTTTACTAATTTTAATAATTAATATTTTTTTTCTTGATTTGCCCTACTGAAATTGGGGTTTTATAAATCCATGTGTCTTTTGCCATATATGCCTTCTGTTTGTCTTAAGGTCCTTGATAAAATCCAGAGACGAATATACAATGTAATTAGCCCTGATCTGGCATCTCATCTGCAGGTGCTCTCTCACAAACATGCCGTCGCCTCCTCCGTCTTTTTTACAAATACTTTCATGGTAACTGCACCAATGAGCTGCTTTCGCTGGTTCTCAGACTTCATGAATTTAAGCAACTAGGCTGGCATCTCGCTCTCACCCGTTCACTGTCGAAACTTAAATGTAGCCGTCTCTTCTACTCCAATAGCTTCATACCTCGCACTTCTCGCCTGTGGAACTCCCTCCCATTTTCTTGTTTCCCAGATAGCTATAATCTCCAACTATTCAAATGTAATGTCAATCGACGTCTCCAGATGCCTTGATCTATTCCCTATCCTTCTCTTCATCCTATCCTCTATCACTCCTCTTTGCTCTCTCTCCAACTCTCTGTAACCCCTTGCGTGCTAGTGGCTTTCCGCCTTGCTTGGGGTGAAATGATTAAAAAAAAAATATGGTACTTGCTTGATTCAGTTTTTATGGTTTTTTCAGCCCATTGCAGGTGATATGAAGCCAGAAATTTTTCTTTTGATTTTATGAATTTTTAGGCGGGGAAATAATAATGCTTTAACGATGCAATGTCTTACTAATTGTATTGCTGGTAATAATTTTTTTCAAAAAGGTATCCCGGGTAAGGGTCGACCTGGGAACACCAGCAATTAAGAGGTGGTAGTTTAACATCTTACCCAGGACGCGGACTGGGTTTTACGTCTTACCCAGGACGCGGATGTAGTTTAACGTCTTACCCAGGACGTGAATTTTTACAGTAGCAGTAGTAGAAGTGGTGTTGGGTTGGGGTAGCCTTTTCTAAGTCAGTTTCGAATTCAGAGTTTTTCCTCCTCTTATAGCAGAAGAGGTTGATTGATATTAGAATGTAAGTGAATGTAATGGATCTGACTCGGATTTGAACTCGGCTCTCCGATTACTTCAGTCCGAGCCGCTATCCATAACTCCACCTTTCTTTCCCCAATTTTTAATTATTTTAATTATTTATCTAATAGAAATATTTTTTCTCAGTATTGACTGGACATAAATATATAACCTTCAGTGAGAGCTTTGGCGCTATAACATCATCCACCAAGTCACTCCTTGGCAGATTGCTGATGCGTCATCTCTTAATACGATGCAGAAATATAAATCGCGTTGACCTTTTTTTTAATCCTTTTTCTCCCTTTTCGACCTTGCACTGAACCAAATCTCGTCATTTCCCCCGCCTTTTAGGATCATTTTTCTTTTTTGCAGTTTTTTTTTCACGATGAATGAATGATATAATTAAATATTCCTTTTCTCATTAAGAACAAGAAGTAGCTAAAAAAATAAATAAAAAAAAAACGAAAAAAAAATTGAGCACGTTATAGCCTTTCCACGGACGAGTGGTGTGGAGTTCGGCATTCTCAGGATCAGGGGCAGCAACTTGTAAAATCAAGTACTGGAAAGGATTCTTTTTTTCTTTTTTTTTTCGTGTGCCTTTACACACGCTTGTGAGCAGGTCAGTATACTTGTCCTTCTCAAGTCGATTGCCGGCTCTTGTTTTCAGCGAACAAATATAATTGTACTCATTATTTTGCGCGTGCGCAGAAGGGACAGGATGTTAAAGTCAATTAAGACAAAAGGGCGCCAGTCAGAGGGCAGGAGATAATGATAACAATAACTAAATCAACTATAAAACAATTAAAATTAAAATTAATTTTAATAATAATCATGGTTATTGATAATCTTTTTTCTGAGATTTATAGAACTGATGATCATAATCCCATGAGTAAAAGAATAATAGCACAATTCTTTTCGTTTTTCCCTTTGCTGTTAAATAAATGCCAGCGAGCGCGCACGATAAGCCTTGCCATTTCCTCAGATAAATAAAGAACCATTACCATTCCGTTTTTAATTGGGAGAACAAAAACGAGAAAAGACGTAGCAATGACTATTTGGTTTTGGGGAGAAATAGAAATAAAAAAAAAAGAAAAGAATATGTTCTAAAGAAAGAAAAAATGATGTCCATTCATTCATTGAAAAGAAGGAATAGATGATCATTCATTCATTTAAAAGAAAGTAAAAAGAAAGAAAAGAAGCTCATTCATTTATTAAAAAGAAATAAAAAAGAATATATGCTCATTCATTCATTCGAAAGAAAGAAAGAAAAATATTCATTCAAAAGAAAAAAATGTTCATTCATTCAAAAAAGGAAAATAAAATAAAGAAAAGACGCTGATTCATTGATTCATTTAAAAGAAAAAAAGAAAGAAAAATGCCTATTCATTCATTCCAAAGAAAGAACGGAAGAAAACAGAAATAAAATATGCTCATTCATCCATTCAAAAGAAAGAATAAAAAAGAAAGAAAAATGCTCATTTATTCATTCACAAGAAAGAATAAAAATGCTCATTCATTCAAAAGAAAGAACGAAAAGATGCTTATTATTTCACTCATTCATTCAAAAGAATGAAAGAAAGAGATGATGCTTAGTCATTCATTTAAATGAGAGAAAGAAAAAAGAAAGAAAAGAAGATGATTTATTCATTCAAAAGAACGAAAGAAAAATGCTCATTCATTGAAAAGTAAGAAAAAACGACGCAAAATGCTCATTCATTCCTTCAAATGAAAAAAGAATGAAAAGAAAGAAGCTCATTCATTCATTGATTCAAAAAAAAGAAAGAAAGAAAAAATGCTCATCATTCATTCAAAAGAAAAAAAGAAGAAAAGATGGTCATTTATTCATTCAAAATTAAGATAGCAACTTGGACGTAGTGGAAAAGTTGGCAAGATTGTCTCGGTAATTCAATTACGACTGAATAGGGAGTTTGATGCGCACTGGAATCCTCATAACTTTCGCTATGCAAGGATCTGCTCAGGAAAACGCTATTCAAAAGGAAGAGAAAGGAAAGAAAAAGAGGCGTTGAATAAAAGAAAAGGACAGAAGAAGGATGCCTGTTCCAAAGAAAGAAAGAAAGAAATAAAATAGAAAGAAAGAGACGTATATTCATTCAAAAGAAAGAATGAACATCATGCTCATACAAAAGAAGAAAAAAAGGGAAAAAAAGAAAGAAATTTATGTTCATTCAAAAGAAATTAAAAAAAAATGAACAGTATTCTCATTCAAAAGAAAGAAAGAAAGAAAGACAGAAAGAAAGTAAGAAACGTATGCTCATTCAAAAGTAAGAAAAAAGAAAGAATTAACAGCATGCTCATTCAAAAGAAAACAAGAAAAAAAGAAAGAAACGTATGTTCATTTAAAAGAAAGAAAGAAGGAAGAATGAACAGCATGCTCATTCAAAAGAAAGAAAAAAGAAAGAATGAATAGCCTTCAAAAGAAAAAAGTAACAAAAAAAGAAAGAAATGTATGTTCATTCAAAAGAAAGAAAAAAGAAAGAATTAACAGCGTGGCCATGAAAAGAAAAAAGAAAGAAAGAAACATATGTTCATTCAAAAGAAAGAAAAAAAAAGAAATAGTGAACAGTATTCTCATTCAAAAGAAAGAAAGAAACTTATTTTCATTTAAAAATAAGAAAAAAAGAAAGAATGAAAAGCATGCTCATCTAAAAGAAAACAAGAAAAAGAAAGAAAGAAAGAAAGAAAGAAATGTATATTCATTCAAAAGAAAGAAAAAATTAAGAATGAACAGCATGCTCATTCAAAAGAAAGAAAGAAAAGCATGTTCATTCAAAAGAAATAAAAAAAGCAAGAATTAACAGTATTCTCATTAAAAAGAAAGAAAGAAAGAAAGAAAGAAAGAAAGAAAGAAAGAAAACGTATGTCCATTCAAAAGAAAGAAAAAAGAAAGAATTAATAGCATGGCCATTCAAAAGAACAAAAGAAAAAAGAAAGAAAGAAACGTATGTTCATTCAAAAGAAATAAAAAGAATGAAAAGTATTCTCATTAAAAAGAAAGAAAGAAAGAAAAGAAAGAAAGAAAGAAACGTATGCCCATTCAAAAGAAAGAAAAAGAAAAGAATTAATAAAAAAAGCATGGTCATTCAAAAGAAAAAAAAAAAGAAAGAAACGTATGTTCATTGAAAAGAAAGTAAAAAAGAAAGAATGAACAGTATTCTCATTCAAAAGAAAGAAAGAAAGAAAGAAAGAAAGAAAGAAAGAAAGAAACGTATGCCCATTCAAAAGAAAGAAAAAAGAAAGAATTAATAGCATGGTCATTCAAAAGAAAAAAGAAAGAAAGAAACGTATGTTCATTGAAAAGAAAGTAAAAAAGAAAGAATGAACAGTATTCTCATTCAAAAGAAAGAAAGAAAGAAAGAAAGAAAGAAAGAAAGAAACGTATGCCCATTCAAAAGAAAGAAAAAAGAAAGAATTAATAGCATGGTCATTCAAAAGAACAAAAGAAAAAAGAAAGAAAGAAACGTATGTTCATTGAAAAGAAAGTAAAAAAGAAAGAATGAACAGTATTCTCATTAAAAAGAAAGAAAGAAAGAAAGAAAGAAAGAAACGTATGTCCATTCAAAAAGAAAGAAAAGAAAGAATTAATAGTATGGCCATTCAAAAGAACAAAAGAAAAAAGAAAGAAAGAAACGTATGTTCATTCAAAAGAAATAAAAAAGCAAGAAATGAACAGTATTCTCATTAAAAAAGAAAGAAAGAAAAGAAGAAACGTATGCCCATTCAAAAGAAAGAAAAAAGAAAGAATTAATAGCATGGTCATTCAAAAGAACAAAAGAAAAAAAAGAAAAAGAAAGAAACGTATGTTCATTGAAAAGAAAGTAAAAAAGAAAGAATGAACAGTATTCTCATTAAAAAAGAAAGAAAGAAAGAAAGAAAGAAAGAAACGTATGTCCATTCAAAAGAAAGAAAAAAGAAAGAATTAATAGCATGGCCATTCAAAAGAACAAAAGAAAAAAGAAAGAAAGAAACGTATGTTCATTCAAAAGAAATAAAAAAAGCAAGAATGAACAGTATTCTCATTAAAAAGAAAGAAAGAAAGAAAGAAACGTATGCCCATTCAAAAGAAAGAAAAAAGAAAGAATTAATAGCATGGTCATTCAAAAGAAAAAAGAAAGAAAGAAACGTATGTTCATTGAAAAGAAAGTAAAAAAGAAAGAATGAACAGTATTCTCATTCAAAAGAAAGAAAGAAAGAAAGAAAGAAAGAAAGAAAGAAAGAAAGAAACGTATGTCCATTCAAAAGAAAGAAAAAGAAAGAATTAATAGTATGGTCATTCAAAAGAACAAAAGAAAAAAGAAAGAAAGAAACGTATGTTCATTGAAAAGAAAGTAAAAAAGAAAGAATGAACAGTATTCTCATTAAAAAGAAAGAAAGAAAGTCAGACAGAAAAAAAGAAATGTATGTTATTCAAAAGAAATAAAAAAGAAAGAATGAACATTTTTTATGATTCAAAAGAAAGAAAGAAAGAAAAAAAGAAAGGACGAAAGAAAGAAAAAAGAAGAGGAAAGAAATAACAAGAAGTATGCACATTCAAAAGAAACAAAGACACAAAGAAAGAATTGCAAGAATGAAGAGACGATAACATCCTCCTGCATTTAACGTCTGCTTCAATGAAATTGACACATGTTTCTCCTTTAAGCAATAACCTGTCTTCATCATATTTTTAGAAAGTTGTTAAACCCAAATATTTAACGACACACTATGAGAATTTCCCTGGCTATTTTGTAGCGGTAGAACTCTCCAGGAGTTTATTCCACCATTAACTTACATATGATTCTTCGGAAATTTCAAATAGGAGAACCGTAACACTTTTACGAATGTTGCAATCACTACTGCTAGTACTAAAAACTAATTGGAGATATGCAAGAAGTAAAAAATCGAAACCACTGAGAGATGGTATGATCACCAATCAGACACATTTGCTCAAAATAACAATATAAATAATCTCCGGGACATGCCAATTCAAACTGGCAAGATATAAAAGACTGACATGATATAAAAGACAAGGAATTCAGGAAGTGATATATCAGTGCCATCTGAGAGAAACACAAACATCAAAATTATTGAGAAATTCTCCAAATTCAAAGACCTGGAGATTGAGATTGACATGATGGGAGGAATGTAGACTGAGACTGTACCAATAGTAAGCGGAGTACTAGGCCTCGTGAGAAAAGGAATGGACAATTTTACTAACAGTGTCCCAGGCAATATCAACATACAAGTTGCCCAGACAATCGCCCTACTAGGAAAATCCCATACATTATGAAAAGTGTTATCAATTAAATGGCAATTCTCTCATAGGGCCTAATGACCATAGTTTGAACCCAGCTCTACCGGATACAAAGCAGGAAACATAACATACACAAATAATAATAATGATAATAATAAACAAAAACGGTGCCTCCTGATTGATATTGCAGTCCCTGCTGACTGCAATGTATCTTTGAAGATATTCAAAAGTTGTCAAAGTACAAGGACCTTTGAAATAGAAATCTCGAAAAATGTGGCATATGGGAACATCAACAATCCCTGTTGTAGTTGGAGCCCTAGGACTGGTTTGAAAAGATTGCAGAGACCAATTGAAGGGATTCCTGGAAGTCCATGCCTCAAGGAGATACAAAAAATTGTTCTGACAAGTACAGCCCACACCTTACGAAGGGCTTTATGTATGTAATTTAATTTTTTTTTTTTTTTTTTTTTGTCAGTGGAAAGTGTCATGACGCCATTTCTAACTTTAGATTTTCAAGGGACCCGAAAGAAATGTAAACGCCAGAAATCAAAAAAATAAAAATAATAATAATAATAATAATAATAATAATAGAACAAATGAATGGATTCCTGATAGCCTATGCCTTACGTAAATTCAAAAAATTGTACTTTTCTCTCTCTCTCTCTCTCTCTCTCTCTATATATATATATATATATATATATATATATATACACTCATTTACATTATTCGGACTATTGTCCTCATCTTTGTCGCCATATTTATTATAAACGTTTCGGCCGTTTACGCCCGGCCTTCTTCAGGTGGTTGGAATGTCGAACTTCACCATTTGGTTCGCTCACTGGGATAGACTGTTCTAGTTACACGTGCCATGTTTAATGGGTGTAAGTTATCACTTATCTTCTGTTAATTTCTCTCTAAAAGTTCTCCACTGCCTTTAGCGGATATTGAACTCACACTCTTTGGGTCCTGTCACTGGATTTAACCAACGCCTTTATCCACGTGGAACTAGAAGAGTCTACCCCAGTGAGCGAAATAAAAGTTTAAGTTCGACATTCCAAATAACTGAAGAAGGCCGAAGCGTACAACGGCCGAAACGCTGTAATAAATATGGCAACAAAGATGAGGACAATAGTCCGAATAATGTAAATAATGTACATAATACCTCATCTCAGAAATATATATATATATATATATATATATATATATATATATATCAATTATATGCTGCAGTTTTATTTATATTACAATGAATCATTCTTACAAAAAGTAAATTAGTTTGGTTAATGATATAAAATGGCGAAATCTTTTCGCTAACTAAATTTTTAAAAATGCATCAACCCACTAACCACTCGATGAATGTTATGATCCTTGTATTTTTATTTAATCATAAACTGTATTAGTCTTCCTTATATATACTTTCGGCAGGTTTTCCGTCTGATATATATATATATATATATATATATATATATATATATATATATATATATATATATATGAAAAGAATGGAAAAAAACAAAAAAAAATCATTCGTTTAGCAATTATGTTGTTTAAAATGAATGAAAATTTTAAAATGACGCTTTCAGCATGGTCACGTTTGTCAAAACCTTTTTCAAAAAAAATATTCAAAAGCTGATCATTTTAAAATTTCAGTTATCTGTTTTGGATAAGACTTGTTTTTTATGTCCATCGTCTTTGTCAAATTGAAATGAATTGTATTTTTAATGAATATTGTCTTGAAAAGGTTTATTAAACCGAAACGTCAGACGTCGACATTTCATTCATTTTAAAAACATAATTGCATTTAAGGATTTTTGTTTGTTATTTTAAATTTTCATTCTGTCGGATCTATATCCATTTACATTT